ATGACTATTTATATAATGGAAAGAACTAATTTCATATTTACAGTTCTAAGCAGTACACTGGATATACTGCTCTTCACAACACTCCTTATCCCATGCGTCCACAGTGCTGATTACTCCCCCTCAGAGGGTGTTTCTGCACATTTGTTTGTGTCCAGTCAGCCCTCAGAAAGGTCCTTCAATCTACATGAAGGCATCTCATAAAATAAGTTACCGTTACGTTCTACTCATGATGATAAACATTCCCTCTCATTAGGTTTATATTTTCCTTTAATACAAACCTATGCACCAAAATTCTTTGTTTCTCCAGCATAAATCTGAAGAAACTACATTGAAAACAAGGCACTGCTCCAGACTTGGATCTACTGTGCAAACTCAAACCCATCATTTGTAGATAACAATACACATGTAGTGTAATGGTAGTCAGAAGCCTACTTTGCTATTTTTACCCATAGTCCCACATGTACTACAGGACAAAATCTCTGTCTTTGGGAACTCCATCATCCAGGACAAAGCAACACTCAAGACTCTTCTATACAGTCTCAAAATAACATAGCTGTAACTCCTATCAACCTTGAGAGGAAGACTGATCTCTAGTTTTACACTAAGGCTTTGCTGAAAGCAGTTGATCCAGAACAGTGCCAACTTGAACCTTACAGCGTGAGTTTATTTCCTTTGTTTGAGCCAATTTGAAATCTGTTATTTGTGTACTGGTTTACGTAGGACAATAGGTAGTAATAAGAACCATGATTTTAAAAGGTTTGGCTGATTTAGTATCAAAGCATAAGTTGTCCACTTTTTTTTCTTCCTTTACAGTACTAATCGTCTAAACTGCAAAGTGCCTGGGCCATAATCACAGATCCTATTGAAAAATAACACAGTTTAACACTATAGCAAGAAATGGTTTTGATTCAATAATAACAGTAATTTCTGAAAAAAAGTGACAAAATACAGACATCGAATAGACAGGTCTGAAAAAATAAATCAAACATACACATGGCTAAAAAGTGTAGGAAAAAGCACATAGTAGATGCTCACAAACTTGGGAAAAATGGTTATCAGACCACCCTTTTTTTGTGTTTTGCTAGGCACCTTCATAGGAGATACTGAGGAGGCTCAAGTCCTGCTCCAGAGTATTTTCCAGGTAAAAAGCAGAGGGAAAACATCACAACTTACTTCCCCCTCTGAAAGCCTGTTAGATGCCATTCAAGTTACTTCTGGGTAACTGGCACTGAGTTGGAGGAGGACCTGCTATATTGTACTGCATCCCTTCTACAAAGGGTATGATCACCTAACTAAAATGGTGCAATAATGTATCTTCAGGAGAAGAAGTTGTATGTCGCTGCCACATGTGTCAACAAGCGTTTAAACTTACCCTCACTATATTCAGTATCAGTGCAGTTCCTGTAACTCTTAAAGTAACACATTCTAGGGAAATGGTATATCAGTGTGATCATTCATTCAAATTAAATTAGCTTAAATCACACAAAATCAATAATTTAAGGTGAAAATTTATGAACTATTAAATTAGGTATGTTCGATACCTGATTGACATCAAGCCTCTTCAAGTTCTCCAGCTTCCATTCTGCAAGAAATAACAAAGTACATGAACAGCTAATCTACACAGATTTGAAAGGGCTAATTCCATTGACATTTCATGCCTTGTTGCCATTTTCTGTAAAGTATTGGTACTAAAGAAAATCATAATTTGACTTTAGGATGCCAGTTCAAGAAGGTTACAGATGGAACTCAACAGGCAGAAACAACAAAACACATTCATTTCAGTTCACATTTTCTTTTATCCAGCAGGATAAATTGCTGCTTGCAAATCTCTGACCTAGATCAGCTGAAGAAAGGCCAAGGGTTTTGGTTTTTTTCTCTCAATACAGTGATGTATTACCTCCTGTGCCAAATAAAAGAATCAAACTCAGGTTTAGGAGATGGGCTGTTAAATCTCTTCAACAGTTTATAAAAAAGATTAACCCAAGGTCCCAAATGTACTGGTACAGCGTAGTGCAAACATATTAGACCCTAAAGCTGTGGTGCATCACACCAAAAGCTAGTTCAAAAGTGTATTTTCCTGCTCTAGGGAAATAAAGAGAAAGCTGTCTGCTTTCTTTGGGGGTGGAGAATTATTTAAAAACAGAGTTTAGCAAGATTTGGGTTTTTTCTTTCATACATCTACAGTATTGAATATGCCAAACTTATTTCCAGCAATTTGTTTATACCACTGCTAGCTTTGGGGATCTGTGTACAGGTCCACTATGACTCGGTCCCAAAAATTCCCTGAGGAGCAGCCATGTACCTTAACAGTAGTGAGACATACAGCTACAGCAAGTTCCCATGGCAACACAACAAGAGGTATTAGAAGCATTAATCATGAATTGTGCTAAACTCACACCAAAATGAACAAGTTCGCTTCCTTTTGCTTCCTAGAAAAGGGAAATGGGTTTATACTTCTACAAACAGACTCTCACCCATATTTCTATTAAATAAATGCATTGCTTGCTTTCCTTTACATAAGATTTTCTAAAGAAAAATGATGAAAAACTGTCTATGCATACACAAAATGCTAGAGAAAACATCTAGCTTTCTCAAAACCTTTTTCATCTCCACTTCCCCTACTCAGATATTTTCAAAGGCAGAATTGAAAACATCTGCATAGGACCAGGAGCTGCAGGACATTGAGCCCAGGAAATACGGAGAACTGGGACACACCTGCAGAGCGGCCAGTCTGGGCTGTACTTCCAGGGGTGAGGTGCCTTGGCTTTACATGCTGCCCACACTGTTTTACGATTCCAGCTCACTGTCTAGGTTTCTTATACGGTGCTCAGTTTTCCAACCAATTGATTAGAGGGTTTTTTTGCCTTCATCCTGCCCTGCTTTTACTGCAGCCCACTGGGCTGTCAGAGGCAAACAGTCCAGGGGAAACAGCAGGGAGGTGCCAGTTCAAGAGACTGAGGATGAGGCTACATGAACCAAAGAAAATCTCACAAAGGACTTCACAGAGGCAAAAACAGTGGAGGGGTACGCTTGAGCTTCCTCAGCTGTGGCTGCAGCTCTGCTGCTGTCCTGCTGCAGAAGATTGCCCCTTCACTTACAAGCTTCTCTGGACTTGCACCCCAAGGCCAACTGTTAGTCCACAAGGAGATGAAAAGCAGCTCTGTATTCTCCTTCTTTCTGAAGAAGGCTCAAACCAATGGCCAAATGGGTAATGTTTCATGTTGCCCACAGGATGCAGGGCTGCCACAACAAATCTTTCCAAGAGGATTGCCTGACCAGGCCTGAGGGAAGGTAGAGCACAGGTAAAGGAAGTGATGAGGAGAAGGCTGTCATGCCAGAGCAGACTCTGTGCCCTTCTGGCCATCCAAGGAGCACATTCATCCTTCTATGACAAACTGGACAGGCTAAGTCCTGCCTGTTGGCACTGCCTTGGGTGCTACAAACCCTCAATGGCAATAATGAGAAGAGAGAAAATTCACTGAGCTGCCCACAGGATGTTTGCACTGAACAGAGCATAAGAAGTTTCCCAGCATTAGAAATATTCTGTCAATATTTCCAGGAAGTCTTAACTTAGATAAATTAGGAAGGATTGTCAGTAGATGCAAGAACTTGTAGTAGCTCTGCAACTACAAATGTAAGCCTGATACTCGCATTCAACAGCAACACAGCAGTCTTGAGGACACTCTCCTTCCCTGCACACAGTCTCACTTGCTTTTGTATGGAGCAGGAAAGGCAGATTCAAAGAACATTTCAAGAGCTGAACTGTATTGACCTGTGAAAGCACCAAGTGCCATTTCAGCAATTTTTTCTTTACTTCTAAGCTATGCAACCTACGAGAAGCTATAATGTACAACTACAGAGAGAACAGTCACTTTTTAAGTGATAACTGATACTTGCTACTCAAACAGAGATTCAAACTCCCAAGATAGTCAGAGAGACTCAAATCTCCAATAGAGATCATCCATGGCAATTAAGAATCTGTAAAGATAGTGTCTACACAGACCAACAACATGATTGACAGCTGGGAAGCTGCAGAGCAAGTCCACAACTAAGGGAGGAGTTTCTGATGTCTGCTCTGGTGTTCTTGGCTATTTGTCTGGTTGTTTGGTTTGTTTTTTGTTTGTTTATTTTTTAAAAATCAGAAGGAAAATACAAAGCAGGTACAGTAGGGTGCAGAACAATGTCCTTCTTTAAGAAAATAGACATTTCCTAACAGAGGAAGGCCAAAGAGCTTTCCCTATTGTGCACCTGGAAGTCAGCTCAATACTCATCTTTTCTGAAATGCTCTCACACCCTTTTCAACAACTTTAAGTCAAATGCTGTGAATCAAGGACACTGACAGATGTAAAACTCAACTATTACAGATCAACCCTTAGATGTCAAGTGTCCTTGGAAGTCAAGCAGATCAGCCATCACAGAAATCAAGAACAGTTGGTTTATTCTGTGTTTTTTTTTTCTTGCTTCAACTCATTTTCAATCTTATCAGAGGTATCATAGTTTTATAGCAGCAGTTTAGCGCAAAGAGTGAAATGTTAGTATAGTCTATATCTGAAAAGTCCCATTTGCTTAATCTGTTATCAAATACCTTCTCAAGATGAACTTAAAACCCCAGGGTTGAAGTAATTTTTGCCTGTTTTCTCTAATATAGCTTGACAAGCAATTCGATAAAATAGAAAGTCATTACCTCATTGCTCGTGAGTAACAACACAAGACTCAAAGCATCTTAAGAAACAGAGCAGGCTACAAGAATGGGGCACATGAAAGAGGAAGAGCTTGCACAATTTAATCACACATGGCTCTCTAAACCCCTCGATATTTCAGTAAGCCAATATTTATTACATTATGTATTTTAAATAATAAAAATTTAATTTAAAAAAAAATTATTCCTAAATAAATTACAAAGGGGAAAAATACCAGTAAAGAGTCATAGCTTCTCATTGAGAAAAACTGTTTACATTTCCACAAGAGCTACAAGGATGCAAGTGAGACAAAACAGCCCCTGGAAAGTCCCCAGGGTTGTACTGTGAAGCTAGAAAAGAGTCTTTGAAGCTGTCAACTTATCATGTTTCAGTACAAATAGCTTTTAACCTCTGGGAGTCTTCCTAAGAATTAAGTCTCCTCTGGAACTAAGTTTCACAAACATGAATAGCCTCCTGTTCCCAAAGAGAGAAAGTCTTCAGTTCTATGATTAGAAAAGAAAACTGACTCTGATATTATCTATCCAATTTTGCAGTATCCTGTTTCAGCATACTCTTTTTTTTTTTTTTTTTTTTTTTTTTTTTTTTTTTTTTTTTTTTTACACACTACACAAAGCAAGTCATCCTTACTGGACTTATTGGAACAGAAGTCAGTAAAGATCAACACCTCCCTTTCTAACAAAATCTTGAGCTTCAATTTTATGTTTTACCTACCTTTCAAAAAATTGTCTTCAAAGAACTGAGATGTAACCTTCTGTGGATAATTTATTCCAGCACCCCACACAATCAGTGGTGTTAAAGTTTCTGAAGGATGACCAGCTCCATGGGATCCTAAGACACACCAAACATAAAAAAAAGTATAAACTTCAAGACACGTGCTGTAAAAACAAAATCTACATGCAACAAAAAATATACACACGAGTACTAAGTTCTTGTTACAGCAGACATACTAATATCCTGTTACAGAAAATCTATTCCAGCTTCACAGCTTATTTTTTGCCACTAACAATAAAGTTATAATAAAATAACTAAATTCAAGTCGCAAGTTGGGAAATTGGTACCAGTTAAGTCATTATAATAATTATTAAGTCTATCTATGAAGATAGAATTTGAATATTAAAATCCCCAAAGTGTTAACATGCAGAAACTAAAGCCATAGTACTTGAAAGCCTCAAGGTGTAGAGGAGTTACCTGCCCAAACCATATGCCTATCCTGAGCATCCCACCAAAACCAGGAATTGTTGATCTCAGTAAAAAGAACTGATCTCTGGTTTCCCAATAAGAATTAGACTTCTATTTCAAAACCAGGAAGCAACATGCATTGCAACTATCATCCTTTCCACTGTGATACAAGTTCATTTTTAAGGTATTAAAGCCTAGGAGCACACTCCTTAAAAATTGATAAAACATGACTTCCTTCCCTGGGGAAATTGATTCCCTCCAGATTAATGTATCAGCAGCCAAAAGGAGGAAGCTTGAAAACTATGACACCTCAGCAGCAGTTGCACTGAAGCAGGAGCCACACAACCTTGAAAGGAATGCTAGCCATTAAACCCAGTGGTTGAGGTACCACATCACTGAGAAAACCCAGCCTCAAAGGGAATAACATTGTTATACAAACCATATGCTGGTCACTGCATGGTCTACAAGATTATACATGTTCTTTATATTTGCACAGACACACGCTCCTCCCTGTGTGTGCAAATATATATTTAATAAATGTAGGAAGTGGGACCGGCCAAAGCCTGCAGAGAATAGAGCTTCTAGCAACAACAGCTGCCCGGAATTGCCTGAGACCCAGCTACAAGGGGTCAGACCAGCTCCAGCCTTACAGACCTCTGCAGGATTCCCCTCTCCTGGGCCCCCCAAAGACCCTCCTCCCCTTCTTCCCTAGCTATCCCTTCCCCC